CCCACATAAACTTAAACCTTGTTTATTTGGCTCATGTTAGCCTTTGAGTTTGACATGCTTGACTTAACCCCAAACTCTATCAATTTTATAATTCTCTTCTAGGTACATATAAACACATTGTGCACCATAGTCTATTAATTTTATCTTCTTAAAGAAATACCTTCAGGAGTCTTCTGATTTGCTCTAATCTGGATTGGGTTGCTGCACAGCTGTAATCTTGAAATTTCCCTTTGCTCACCAGCCACCCTCCCAACACACACACACACACACACACACACACACACACACACACACACTGAATTCCCTGTTTCCTGAATTCTATGATTTTCCAATGGCTTGGTGGAGAACACCCTCCGATAACTTTCTGAGAAAGGGCGTATGAGAGATGAAATTTTTGAAACCTTAGTTAACTATAAATGTCTTTATTCTTCCTTTATAATGAGTTGTTTGGCTAGGTATATAATTCTAGTTTGAAACTGTTTTCCCTATTAATTTTAAAGACATTTTCTATTGTATTCTGACTTCTACAGTTGCTGTTGAGTAATGTAATGCCATTCTAATCTTTGAATCTTCATATAAAACCTGCTCCTCTCCCTCCTTCCCCCAATCTCAAAGACTAAGATTTTCTTTTTGTCCTGAAGTTTCACAATAATGTTACTTGATGTGTAACATTTTCAGCCATTATTCTAGCTACTTGGTGAGCCCTTATATTCTGTAAATTTTCTTTATTTCTTTCATGACTTTCTTTCCTCTGTTTTCTCTTTCTGGAGTTTCTATTATTCTAAAATGGAATTTTTTTTTTTGTCGTCTTGCATCCCCCCTGCTTTGAGTTTTTGTTTTATGTTCTGGGAGATTTCCTGAACTTTATTGATAAGACCTTATATTTAATTAACTTTGTTTATTTAATTTTCAAAAGCTGTTATTATTGTTCTTGCTCTCTAAACTTTTGTTAACATCTTCTTCATGCTGGGTGGATGCAATATTTTTTCTTATTTCTCTGAATATACTAATAATTTTGGGAAATTTACTTCTCCCTGCAAATCTTCATCCAGTAGGTTTTTTTCTCTTTTTTAAAAAGTCTCAGTCTTTCATATTAAATGTTTTCCTTAAATGTCTGTAATCCTTGGCAGTCACTGAAAAGGTGACCAGAAGTTTCTGCATATGGAGGGGGCCTATCAAGTGTTGTCTTCTCTATAGAGTAACTTGACTTAGCCATGGACTTTGAAGGATGTGAGTAAATTGAATTCTTGTACATTGCCGGTTGAAATATAAAATGGTGCAGCCACTGTGGAAACCAGTTTGGTGGGTCTACAACAAGTTAACCATAGCCCTAGCTGGTTTGGATCAGTGGATAGAGCATTGGGTCGGCTTGCGGACTGAAGGGTCCCGGGTTTGATTCTGGTCATGGGCACATGATCAGGTTGTGGGCTTAATCCCCAGTAGGGGGTATGCAGAAGGCAGCCAATCAATGATTCTCTTTTATCATTGATGTTTCTATCTCTCCCTCTCCCTTCTCTCTGAAATCAATAAAAATATATTTTAAAATAAATAAAGAAATATGTTTTAAAAAAAAGTTAACTATAGAATTAGCATATGTTCCAATAATGCCACTCATAGGTATATACCCAAAGAAATTAAAAACAAGTATTCATACAAATGCTTGTACACAAATGTTTGTAATAGCATTATTTGCAATAGCCAAAAGGTAGAAATAACCTGTGTTCATCAACAAATGAATTAGTAGGCAAAATGTGGTATATCCATACAAAGGGATATCATACTCAGCCATAAAAAGAAATGAAACACTGATACAAGCTCCAAGTGAATGGACCTTGAAAATATGCTAAGTGAAAGAAGGCAGACACATCAGTCACATGTGGTATGAGGCTATCTGCATGAAGTATCCAGTATAGGTTGATCCACAGAGACAGAAAGCAGAATAGTGGTTGTCAGGGGCTGGGGGTTAGGGTGGAGGGAGTGGACAGGGGGAGAGGGAATGGGGAGTGACTGCTTCATGTGCATGA